ATTTTTCATCTTTTCTGAGTTCACTTTTAAAATTAAGTTTACGATAGACCTTTTTGCTGTAAAGGGAAGTAACTTGGTTGGGTCACATTTGATGACTGCCCAATTTCTCGTGCAAGAAGTCAGGTATTCTGCTTTACGTCAATCTTTATTGTGTATTTATTATTATAATTCTTCTTACTTTCTAGTGGCACTTAGCTTTTACTGAATATTCCATTTTAGAAGAAGGGCGCCTCTCTAAAAAAACCGATGCATAATTACACTGAATAAGAACTTGTATAAATACTCTTTTTATTTAAAAGCTAAATTCGACACGTCGAAGTGTTGAGCGGAATTTCTTCTGCAAGAATATATTTTTGCTCTTGTAGTTTTCTTCCACGTAATTTACAGAGGAAGTACTTAATACTGCTTAAAAAACTTCTCCTTCAAAAGGTCGTAGAATTAATATATGTGTATAAAAAACAGCGCTCTGGTTATTTTGAACGACACTGTGTGAGTCATGCGTATTGTTCAATTTCAATAGCCACTTATGACGTTAACAATCCTTTACATGGTTAACTAAAAACCGCAAAAAAGGAAGGACCGTTCTCTGAATTTGCCAAACCTTAGTTTGGTCCCTAACATTTTATTGTAATCTCAGTGTAGAAAGCAAAATAAATCCAAGAAACTACTTTTAATCTGGATTCTCAGCCGACAATGAGTCACTGGTTTCTATATTCAAATTTACACATCTTTTGTGTTGGAACACATTACAAGTTAATCAAGTGTGAAACGACAATAATACGTCCCATGCGACACATACGAAAGTTTAACTCGAATGCGGAAAAAGTAGTGGAACATAAAAGGGCCAGTTAAATGCCTTTGAATAGCAAAATAAGAGCGATAGGGATATTTTGACAACAGTGCCTTCGACAGCTGGGTTATTTGTGGCGCTCAGCTGAAATTTCCCATCCGATTGAAATATTTTCATAAGAGTGTAAGAGAGGGCAATCTCAACCCTGTGTTGGTACAATATGACGTTTTGATATTAGCGCCAAAACAGAATCACTGATCAGTGGTAGTCAAAGGAAGGTCGGATGTTATGGTGCGAATAGTCTTTTTAATCCTGGTCTTTTTAACAACTGCTAACAGCAAACCAAGAGCCAGCATTGAACATGTGGATAACCTGATAAAAAAATACGGTAAGTTAGTTATATACACACGATTTTGTCTCTTTTTAAAGGGTTCACAAGTTAAATAACAAGCTTTCTATTCTTAGCTTTCGAGCAACGTAGATTCGAAGTATGCCAACTTTCGAAGAGATTTTAACTTAAATCGTGATAAAACTTCCCAAGTTATGTCTCTTACAAGCGAAAACTATTTCATTACTATCCTTTTTTTTTCATTTTTTTAGTGAATTTCATTCTATTGGCCTTAAAGAATTTACCTCCAACTATGATATTTTCCCGTTTTACTAAGTTCTTATTTCCGAACTAATATATGGAAACGAATTGGCAAATAGTTCTTGATGCATAGGACTTTTGTCGTGTCAGCTTCGACGGAAAACACGCTTTGGCTTATCACACATGTAGACTTTGCCTTATTTTTGGCTAAGAACGGTATAAATTTTTATCAAAAAGCTGAATAGTAATGAGTAAGGTAATTTCCATAAGCGGAAATTTTATATGCTGATTGACGCTCGTCACACTCGTACTTGAAAATTATTTAAAGGATACACCCCAAAACCATTTATTTGCGGACTTCTAAGTTAAGATTAAACGGAAATTTGTAAATCTAAGCTGGAGAAAACATACAACATTCAACTTAAAAATCTCTGAGACTGTGGGGCCCTTTAAGGAATGTATTTTTAAAGTTTTTTTGTTGAAGTAAGTTTTTTTGTTGAAGGTTAGAGAAGAATTAAGGCTTTCTGCTGCCAAGGAGTATAGTCAATGCCAAGATGGGCGATGGGATGGGATAGCGTACGGTGTTTTAACCAACTTGTTATTAAATCTTTCCGTGAGAGGAATAAATCTGTGCTTAAGTCTCTAAAAAATTGGAGTTCATCATCAGCAGTTATGACCGCTATTTAAGGAATTAAAAATAGCACTGGTTAAATTATGCCTCTATTTTTAATCTTCCTTAAGACTAACTCTATCCAAAATAATGGCGTATTCTTTTTATATATCCTGCTGTAAAAGTTGAATTCATCTTTTCTATAACTTTTCAAATGTTTTAAGTGAAAATTTTAAGGAAGAAGGCATGCACCTGCAAATTGCTTTAGGGATGATGGCTTGACGTAATCCCATCACTAGTGCAAGCAAAATATCTTTTACTAACCATATTATGGCTTCCGCTCTTCGTTGGTGACTGTTAGTAATAATCGACTCCTATTTATTAGCACTCTCACCCGAAGAGAAATTATTACATTAATATTTAGAGTCTTGAAGTCAGGAGTACTGGCATAAGTACATGTAGGTTGAATGGGATTACGTCGGGTAAGCGATAAGCATACAAAGAAACGATCTTTCCGGACAATTACAGTACTTGTTATCTTTCTCTCTCTCTTTTTTTCTCGTCTTTTCAAAACATGCCACCTGGAGTCAAAAATTCAACAAAAATGATTACCATTTTACGCTTCCCTCAAGAAAAGAAACAAACAAAATGGTCCGTGCAACGTACAGGCTTGTTCGTTGAGATGTCCTAAGAGGTCCGTTTGCGTAATTGAAAAAATGCGTAAAAGGTAACCGTTGGTTTTCATACACATCATTTTGCCATCTCCGCCCGCAAGTAGCAAAAGCTAGGCGAGGCGGGCGGAGAGGATAGGTTACAGCACTCATAACAAATAATATTGTAAAGTAACTAAATAAACTACGTGGATAAATAAGAATTACAGAAACACGAGCTAAAGTTACAAAATATATAAACCCGCAGCAACAAGTGGGAAGACTTTGAAGTAAGAAAGGGGATGGCTGCTGATTTATTTTATCTGCTTGTTGTTTCAGTGGAAGATGATGTTACTTCAAGGGCCGAAGAGAATCCTGGTATGAAAAAAAAAGAAAAAAAACCTTTTTCCTCGTCACAATGTTGTTAAAACAACCTAATTAATTATTACACCGAACACCGGGAAGTAGTAAAGTAATAATGAATACCGTATTTACTCGAATAAGCGCCGCACATGGAGTGGAAAAGTTACTAAGGGCCGCCCTCGAATAAGCGCCGCACCGGAGACACAAAAAATTTAAGAAGTGCCGCGGCGCTTATTCGAGGAAATACGGTAACTTTGTCCCGCGCTCTTAATTTGTTTTGAGATTTTGTCTACAACAAATCAAGACTTCCTTGTTCTAATTACAATGTTACTGTTAACTACTCATTACAATGTTATTGCGAAAAGATTAATAATTTGTTAATGGATTCTGTATCAAAAACTTTAACGCTCTCGTGCTGCGTTCACTATTCAGTTTTTCTTAACCCTTATTATGATTGCAATTGGTTTCAGCTCTTTTCGAGGGAGACATCGTGATTGATGAAGACACGAAACGATATCTTCTGGGTGGAGACATCATGTCACGCGATGCTGTTGTAAATCCTATATTCTACTGGCCAAATGGTGTCGTTTATTATACTTTCGACAGTGACTTAGGTAAAAAAATTAATCGATATAATTGATCATTTTTATTAATGTCATATTTTTTCAAGGTAAGAATTGATTGTTTTTTTGTCTTCCTGTTAACTCTCTGAGAATCCTGTATAATTATTGGTGCACTGTAAAGCAACAGCTCATCGAAAAAGGCCAGAACGCTTACTAAGGTAGTGTTTACATTACACTCGGGCGACTTTCACGCCGGCGCGAGTTCACTCCGGTTCCCTCTCATGGCTCTATATTTCAGTGTTAACATGATACAACCAAAAAATGTCATGCCGGCGCGAGTCAGCCCGGCGCGATATCACCCCAGTTGTTGTACGGGAACGAGAATTTCACTCCGGTTCGAAATTTCGCAGCGGCATCGTGTAAACACGAAACGACCACCCGTTTCGGGGTGAAATCCTTCTGCCGGTGGACTGGAACGGGTAGCGCATGCGTAATGTTTGCGATTTTGAATCGCACATGTATTTTATCAACATGAAGTGTACCTTCAAATAACCGAGATATGAAATGACCCATCATCATGTAAACGCGATACGAAATCAAACAGTCATCCCGGTATGAAACCTGCGCCGGTGAGAGTTTTCTCATGTAAACACCCCCTAACTAACTAAGGGGGTGTTTACATGACACCGGGGCGACTTTCGCCCCGGAGCGAGTTCACTCCGGTTCCCTCTCATGGCTCTATATTTGTTTACATGATACCACCACAAAAGGCTATGCCGGCGCGAGTCACCCCGGCGTGAGTTCACCCCGGTTCTCGCACCGGGGCGAGAATTTCACTCCGGTGCGAAATCTCGCAACGTATCATGTAAACGCGAAACGACCAGCAATTTCGGTGTAAAATCGGTCTGCCGATAGACTGGAACGGGTAGCGCATGCCTAATGTTTGCGCTTTTGAACCAAACGTGTATTTTATCAACATGAAATGTATCGTTAAATATCAAGATATGAAATGACCCAGTCATCATGTAAACGCGATGCGAAATCAAAACGTCATCCCAGTGTGAAACTCGCGCCGGTGCGAGTTTTCTCATGTAAACACCCCCTAAATGTATAACTTTTGATCCCATGCAATATTTTCCTTTTTTGAATGCCCATCTCTTTGCTGATTTAGAACCATCCACTATCCGTCTCATCAAGAAGGGAATTCGTCACTTGAGGAGAAGAACATGTTTGAAGTTTGTGCAAACTCCCCGAAATGACGGTCATCATACCAGCTACATAAAGTACTTTAGCGGGAATGGGTAAGTGTTTTTCCTGTAAGTCGTAAATGCAGCATATCGCATTTCAACAAGTTTATTAAGCTCTGTTTTAAACAAGGCAATGTTTCCACCATTTTTTGGCAATCGCCGAAATTGACTCGTCTACTCTTGGCCAAAAAGTGCAAGTATTGATATTAAAAATGCCCTAAAGAATCATAGAGATCTAATGTGAGAAGAACGATCCTGGAATGTGTACGTGTACCTAATTGAAATAGTGTTATCAAATACTGATAATGATAATGATAATGATAATGATAATGATAATGATAATGATAATGATAATGATAATGATAATGATAATGATAATGATAATGATGATAATAATGATAAGTGACGCAGGTGATTCACTCGGATCTATGTGGAAAGCTGGGTTATGACAAGGATGAAAAATATTACAACCATGGGCCACAACCAGTGTATGCATCAACTCACAACAAGCTGCGGTGGTACTTCAAAATATCGACTGACAAGTAAATTGAACACAACAAGCCTGAAATTGTAGTATTGGATAAGATAGAATGGAAGTGCCAGATTATTGATGTTGCTTGTCTGTTTGACACACGAGTGAAAGACAAAGGGAAAGGGAAATTTGAAAACTACCAAGACTTGAAACGGGAGTAGGCCTTTCCCGATTGATACCATTTTACGCTTCCCTCAAGAAAAGAAACAAACAAAATGGTCCGTGCAACGTACAGGCTTGTTCGTTGAGATGTCCTAAGAGGTCCGTTTGCGTAATTGAAAAAATGCGTAAAAGGTAACCGTTGGTTTTCATACACATCATTTTGCCATCTCCGCCCGCAAGTAGCAAAAGCTAGGCGAGGCGGGCGGAGAGGATAGGTTACAGCACTCATAACAAATAATATTGTAAAGTAACTAAATAAACTACGTGGATAAATAAGAATTACAGAAACACGAGCTAAAGTTACAAAATATATAAACCCGCAGCAACAAGTGGGAAGACTTTGAAGTAAGAAAGGGGATGGCTGCTGATTTATTTTATCTGCTTGTTGTTTCAGTGGAAGATGACGTTACTTCAAGGGCCGAAGAGAATCCTGGTATGAAAAAAAAAGAAAAAAACCTTTTTCCCCGTCACAATGTTGTTAAAACAACCTAATTAATTATTACACCGAACACCGGGAAGTAGTAAAGTAATAATGAATACCGTATTTACTCGAATAAGCGCCGCACATGGAGTGGAAAAGTTACTAAGGGCCGCCCTCGAATAAGCGCCGCACCGGAGACAAAAAATTTAATAAGTGCCGCGGCGCTTATTCGAGGAAATACGGTAACTATGTCCCGCGCTCTTCATTTGTTTTGAGATTTTGTCTACAACAAATCAAGACTTCCTTGTTCTAATTACAATGTTACTGTTAACTACTCATTACAATGTTATTGCTAAAAGATTAATAATTTGTTAATGGATTCTGTATCAAAAACTTTAACGCTCTCGTGCTGCGTTCACTATTCAGTTTTTTCTTAACCCCTATTATGATTGCAATTGGTTTCAGCTCTTTTCGAGGGAGACATCGTGATTGATGAAGACACGAAACGATATCTTCTAGGTGGAGACATCATGTCACGCGATGCTGTTGTAAATCCTATATTCTACTGGCCAAATGGTGTCGTTTATTATACTTTCGACAGTGACTTAGGTAAAAAAATTAATCGATATAATTGATCATTTTTATTAATGTCATATTTTTTCAAGGTAAGAATTGATTGTTTTTTTTGTCTTCCTGTTAACTCTCTGAGAATCCTGTATAATTATTGGTGCACTGTAAAGCAACAGCTCATCGAAAAAGGCCAGAACGCTCACTAAGGTAGTGTTTACATTACACTCGGGCGACTTTCACGCCGGCGCGAGTTCACTCCGGTTCCCTCTCATGGCTCTATATTTGTTTACATGATACCACCACAAAAGGCTATGCCGGCGCGAGTCACCCCGGCGTGAGTTCACCCCGGTTCTCGTACCGGGGCGAGAATTCCACTCCGGTGCGAAATCTCGCAACGGTATCATGTAAACGCGAAACGACCAGCAATTTCGGTGTAAAATCGGTCTGCCGATAGACTGGAACGGGTAGCGCATGCGTAATGTTTGCGCTTTTGAACCAAACGTGTATTTTATCAACATGAAATGTATCGTTAAATATCAAGATATGAAATGACCCAGTCATCATGTAAACGCGATGCGAAATCAAAACGTCATCCCAGTGTGAAACTCGCGCCGGTGCGAGTTTTCTCATGTAAACACCCCCTAAATGTATAACTTTTGATCCCATGCAATATTTTCCTTTTTTGAATGCCCATCTCTTTGCTGATTTAGAACCATCCACTATCCGTCTCATCAAGAAGGGAATTCGTCACTTGAGGAGAAGAACATGTTTGAAGTTTGTGCAAACTCCCCGAAATGACGGTCATCATACCAGCTACATAAAGTACTTTAGCGGGAATGGGTAAGTGTTTTTCCTGTAAGTCGTAAATGCAGCATATCGCATTTCAACAAGTTTATTAAGCTCTGTTTTAAACAAGGCAATGTTTCCACCATTTTTTGGCAATCGCCGAAATTGACTCGTCTACTCTTGGCCAAAAAGTGCAAGTATTGATATTAAAAATGCCCTAAAGAATCATAGAGATCTAATGTGAGAAGAACGATCCTGGAATGTGTACGTGTACCTAATTGAAATAGTGTTATCAAATACTGATAATGATAATGATAATGATAATGATAATGATAATGATAATGATAATGATAATGATAATGATAATGATAATGATAATGATAATGATAATGATAATGATAATGATAATGATGATAATAATGATAAGTGACGCAGGTGATTCACTCGGATCTATGTGGAAAGCTGGGTTATGACAAGGATGAAAAATATTACAACCATGGGCCACAACCAGTGTATGCATCAACACACAACAAGCTGCGGTGGTACTTCAAAATATCGACTGACAAGTAAATTGAACACAACAAGCCTGAAATTGTAGTATTGGATAAGATAGAATGGAAGTGCCAGATTATTGATGTTGCTTGTCTGTTTGACACACGAGTGAAAGACAAAGGGAAAGGGAAATTTGAAAACTACCAAGACTTGAAACGGGAGTAGGCCTTTCCCGATTGCGCTGAGCACCTTTTGATCACTTTTCTGAGTTTGGAGCACTATTTTGCATTTTGAGCACCGTTAAGCACTTTTTCGCACTTTGGGCAACATTTGAGCAATATTTCACATTTCGAGCAAATTTCGAGCAACATATGTCTTCTAAAACATTTTAAAGCAAAAACTGTGTGTCGCTCGCAACGAGGATCGTGTTCCAGGTCATAAATTTCAATAACTAATGATGTTGTCAAGAATAAAAGACCGTTGTCATGGAAAGGCACATGGACTTATCCTTATTGAGCGTGAGAACAGAAGTTTCTGATTGGCTGATGTATCATGCGGGTGTCATCTCAAATTTCTAAATCATCTGATGTCTAGGCTTTGCACTAGTACGGCTGAATTTATTTACAATTCGTAACCGGCTTTAGTTTTTTAAAAATATTATTGTTCTATATTCTGTCAACCTTTCGTAACAACCGGTCGAATAACACTACGCAAAATAGATTGTTAATTACTTCAGTAAAAATTGACATATTTACGAAAAGCTTAGAGGTAACTGTTCACAACTTTTAGCACTTTTTGAGCACTATTTTGAAATTTTGAGCACTTTTTGAGCACTTTTTAGCCATTTTTGCCAGCACTTTTTCACGATTTTACGGGCGCAATCGGGAAAGGCCTAAACGGGAGTCGAAACGGATCTGAAAATTCCGCACAGTAACTGTGATGCCAGTCATAATTGGTGCATCAGGAGCTGTCTCGAAAGACATAGAGAAGTGGCTAGTATAGCAGAGATTGATTTCACATGTCGTTTAGACACATTACAGAGAGCATTCTTACTGGGTACAGCCAGAATCCTTCGCTAAGTCTTGGACACCTAAGGTCACGGGTGGTGACTTGATGTTTAAGGAAGACTCCAGCAAGCCATCCAAAGGCTGTGTTTTGATAAGGATAATGATGGTGACGATGATGAGACGCACTTGTTCAACCATAAAGCAATTTCATGTTTAGCCTGCGTAGCAAACGTTTCCGCACGTTTTCGGAGCAAAGAACGAGAAACGAGAGTCAAAGATCAGGTGAAAATCTCAGTCCTTGTCGCTCCCCAGTCTTTCTTTGCTCCGAAACCACACAGGAACGCTTTCTACGCAGGCTATTCCATGTTTAGCAGATGAAACTGTAAAACGCAAGATTAAAAGTTGGCGGATTTTTTTGTAACGGTTTTTAGCTCATTGAAAGTAGGTGTATTAACATGTCTCGGTACGGATCTATTTGATAAACTTAATTCAACACGCAAGGAAAAGGAAATTTATTTAACATATTTCTCCTTTTTTGGCTTTGGTTTAAAATTTTATGTAATGGGATTTTTTCAATCTGATTCCAGGAGGTATAGCCTCCGCTCCCTACTGAAGGACTATCGATCCTAAAGGTATTTGAGGCAAATGTAGGAAGTAACAATTTATTACACATTGTTTTTAACGTTGGCTATTTTAAAACAATCCCAAGATGCTATTCAAGAATTGGCCGAGATCCCAATGACAAGGAACAGGTAATCTCGATTGGCTTTGGATGCGAGAGGCTTGGGACTGTTGTCCATGAGACCATGCATGCTTTGGGATTTTTCCACGAACACACCAGACCCGATAGAGACAAATACGTCACACTAGACTGGGGTAATATTGAACAAGGTAAGTGGAACACTGTTTTTTTTTGTCATGGAAGATATTGATCATCGTGGATAATGTGTATAAACTGTTTAGATTATCGTTTGTGTCACGATTGTCACTTTGATATTGATCGCGACGTTTCGACCGCACACTGCAGGTCTTGTACCATCGTGGTTGTTAGTGATTGGTGTATCACGAACCTTGCTCATGGTCGGTGGGTTCGATCCAAAGCATTGTTGATATTGTCAGAGGAGGATACTGTTCCCTCAGCGGTCCGCTTCGGTGGATATCGGTTGTCGTGTTGTCTGACTGTAGGCATCCACGCTTCAGGAATCTCAATTCCACTGTCCCTGTTGATGTTGTTAGGGTAAAGTCTTATGTGGATAGCCTCTTTAACTCTGCGAGAGTACCATTTTGTTTTCTTGTTTTCTGTAGCCTTTTCACTTACGCTGCCATCAGCTATTTCATTTTTTTTTGCCAAACGGGAAAGCGTTTCATAAGAAACCACAGGGCTGATTTGGGACACCAACATGGCAGCCGTTTTACTCAAACGTCTTTAACGGTTTGAGCCTATGCAGAGGTCGCGAGCAATATCTCCCCTCACTTCAATAGTATTGCTTTCACAATTGAAAAGTGTACTTACTTGAAGCCATTCATTCCTGCAAGTTATTTTCTATCACGGGCGGTTCTTATCAAAAGTTGAAAATAGTGCGGGAGGAACTGTAGTGCACCCTTTACTTAGGCACAGTTCTGAGCCACGTCCTCGATCCACACTAGTTCTTATTATCTATTCTAGTTATTATACATGAGGCTATTCAGCTCTTTGCACTTAAAATCACTACCATTTTTATCTTTTCTAGAGCATGCACATAACTTTCAAAAGTATCCTCGTGATCTGGGATCCTCCTTCGGTAAACCATATGATTACGATAGTGTAATGCACTATAGCAAGTATGCATTTGCTAAACATAGAGATATTCCAACTATCGTCCCAAAAAACAAGAAAGCAGTGATCGGCCAGAGGTTTGGTCTAAGCTATCAGGACAGAGAGGAAATCAACAAGCTGTATCAATGCAAAGGTTAGGGGCTAATTCATATGCATTAAAAATCGGGCTAATAAAGTAGATGGTACTGTCCTACGGCTTGAGTCGGGGAAAATAATATTCCCGTAAGAGAAGTTACCGGGAAACAATTACTACTACTATATATACTGGAACCAAATAGCCATAGCGCGTAATATAAGGAGACGTCAATTTGGTTGAGTGCTCAGCTGTTTGTAACTGTCCTGTGTAGTGATGTAACAGTTGGTATGTGTGCTGAAGGGGGCTGCGCCATAGGCAACCAGTACGTTTTTTGTAACAACAAAGGAACGTTGGTTCAATTGCTTGTACTTGGAGTCCCAGGTGTTGAATAGGTGGATAGCACTATGCACTATCCATAGGATAGTGCATCTGGATTTCGAAAAACTTATCCAGTTGATTAAGAGATTTATCCCGGCGGTGGATAGCGTTATCGACCTTTTGAGGAACTGGGGCCAATTAGCTAAGTTAGAGTTATCGACTTTAATATCCTGGGTGGCTGGGTGCGAGTGTATGTTTTATGGGATTATCAGCGTCCCACATTGTAGAAAAAAAAAACATGTTTAAAAATACCTTGAAGTTTGGTCTTACTATAGGTTTTTTGTTAAAAAAAAAAAAAAGAAGTAGTAGAAGAAGAAGAAGAAGAAGAAAAAAGAATCCCCGAAGGCATAAATTGGGAGATGAGAATCTCTAGAGTATGCCATTTGATTAAATAAGAACAAGTTACCATTGTAATTTTGTAATATCAAATGTTAAACTACATAATGCCAATAAAAGGGATAGCAAAAGTGTTGTTGTTGTTCAGACAAGGTTTGTCTCTGCCAACAATGCTACGCAATAAACAATCAATGCAACCAGCTGACAACTGCTTTTGTTATTCTTCTAGTTATTTACTCATTTATTCACATATATATTTATTTATTGTTTTTTGGTTTCTTTTTCTCAGAGGAATGCGTTGACCAAATAAGCCCATACAAGTGTCTCTTTTTAAAAAAAATTGGCATGTGCTCAAGTGAGCTCCATCAGCGAAAAATGATAGAGAAATGTTCAATGAGTTGCGATTTTTGCGGTAAGCGGTTATTCATATTTAAGGAACCTAAAAACAGGACGAGACTTAAAAATCAGTAACCTTGGAGAGGGGAGGGGTAATTTTCGGAAATTAAATGAAAGCTAACATTGTTTACTTAACTCTTTGTTTTACATAGTCCTCTAGTCAATGGAGAGTCATACATCATGATCCACAACTAAGTTCACGAGACAATGGACAGATTTATTGAAATCAATTTTTCAGTTTTGGTATCGCTTGCGGAGGGAACTGTATGCGTCAATTTTAACTGAATCCAACGCTGATAAAGTAACGAGTATTTCGTATCTAATTGGACGATCTGTTCATTGTATTTCGCTTTGGGCCAGAGCTACTTGTCTTCCTCTTTATATATTAAGAAGAAAGACGCATATGGTGGTGGTGTTTAGTAGTATTTTGTAGTAGGTAGGTAGGTTATCTTTATATTTTTCACTGGAATCCCTTAGGCTCCAGCGATGAAAGTTCATAGGTTGACAGATCTTGAAGTATGTTTGTGATACACAGTAATAAAAAGCTAATTATATGATAGAAGTAACCAGGCAAAACGTATTGGCATCTTCTGGGTGCAAGACAAAGGTTGTGTATGTCTAGTTTATAGGCTTGAACTGACTGTCTTGAATTGTTTTAATACATTGGTTTTCTTTTCTTTTAGGGAAAAGAGACTCGAAAGTCAAGAATGCAAGCCCAAACAAGAAAAATTCGACTTTACAGCTGATTCATTAAGTTGCAAAATGTAACAATTATTTTTGTTTTATAATCATTAAAGCCGAAAGTGCTGTTTGCTTGTCTCTTCCTAAAAATTTACTAGTGAAACCACTTTCTGCACAAAAGGAATTATATAAGTGAACTTAAGCAACGACACCTTGACATCCCTGACGTCAAAGAAAACAACCGGCAGTTAATCTTATAATTATTCTCTCTTTCATTGACGTGACTCGATCACGTCATACTACAGGAATAAAAGCCAAAGCAGTTTCAAACTTGTTTACGTCAGACAAGCGTTTCATCAAGTAGCATAAACAAACTTCTGTCCCTGGTATTCGCGACGTTCACACAGGACGTCAGTGTTCTCGTTACTTAATTTGCTGGGGAAGCTACTTAACAAACGGCGGGTGTCTCCCCGATCTCCAACCCCTTACCCTTTTGTATACAGCTGTTGACAGAAATGGTACCTGTTTCTTATACCTTCCATTAAAAATGGTATTCTTTAACATTGTGTTACCCATTTTTGATACTTAAATGAAGCATTTCCCCCAAAAATTTAGAGCAAAATAGCTTCTCCATATACTTGGTTACGGGAATTTCCTACCCCCTGATATACTTGCAGCATAAGAAAGGTTCCCCTTTTCGGTGGAGCCTCCCCGTATAGGCTATTATATTATGGGAGGTGCGTCCCCTCTCAGCCCATGGGCTTAGGTTCACGAATGGTCACTTGTTAACTTCTGGACGTACAAATAGAAGCAATCTTCCACCGTTTTACAATGGCGCCGGTGGGAGTGGGCGTGTAATGTCGTTGGCCTGCTTTCACGTATTTCGGAGAACGTAACGAAAACGTTCCATACCAACCAAAATTCTCCTGAAAATGTTTTTTTATTATTATTTTGCTCAAACGTATCTACCGAGAGAAGCTGTTTTACTCGGTAGATAGATATCTTAAAAGGTGAATTACACTCATTAACTGGGAGTCTTCGTTTGATTCTCGCACAGGGTAATCCTACCCCTGAAATGATGACATAAAAAGTGTTTATAAATCCAAATTGAAATTGCAACTTGCACTTCTCCCATAAAATACTTTTGGGAGAAATGAAAAACAAAGGGCAGTGCAAACAAGGTGTATCATGGGGGATATGCGAGGGACAGTCATCATCATTTCTATCATCCTAATCATCATCGTCATCGTCATCATTATCACCATCATTTTAATAAGGGGCAGCAATAATAAGGCGGCAGGCATGAAAGGATTAAAACCACCGTGATGACCAGTCTGAAATGTCATTCATCTTCCTAACGATTGGCAAGGCCAGCTGGGGGTTGGGGAGAAGAGACGTATGACATTGCAGATCACTTGATAACTGGGTCAAAATCATAATAAGGCAACTACTCTTAACTTTAATTTAGAACTGCAATTGTAAAAGTGTCTTCCAGTATCATTTATTAACCATCACAACATTGTCCTTTAGCCTGCGAAAACAGCCGTTTCTCCTTGCTCCTCGCCGCTGGGGACGTTTCAATCGGAGGAACGTGTGCGACTCAGCGACAGAAATTCCATACTAATGACGTAAATCAATGTTTACATAATAAATCCTGTAGTCGTGGGGTTCCAAATGCAAATTTGTTCACTTTTACGTTTCTCCTGGTCGATTTTGGTAAAGTGTTGCGTTCACCTGCGAATGAGCTCCAGCAAAACTCAAATGCTTCTTCTAGAGAAGAATATATTCCACCAATTTTGACTGTCTTAGTAAAGTAAGACGTTGATAGTAGTCTGTAGAATACGTTATACATGTCGCAGAGTCCCAGTCAATTTGATGTTTCGTCTTTAAATGGTGCTCAGCGATGTGATTGTTGACGTCACCATTCCTCGTCGCTCGTTTGTGTTCGGTCAGTCGCGTGCTTAGGTTTCTGCCGGTTTCACCAATGTAAGAAGCCTGGCAATCGCAGCATTTGATCTTGTATACTGCTCCCTGTCTGTCCTCCGGTTTCTCTTTGTCCTTGACGTTAGTAAGCAGTCGCCGTAAAGTGGTTGGGAGTATCGGTTTGTGTGCAAGACGTATATTGTGAGGTTGTAATATACGTGCAATAGTTTCGGAGGTGTCTCTGATGTACGGTATAGTCGCTGTTATGTAACAGGGCCAGAGTTGGTCTGAGTGTTGGAATCAGTGTTACTGTGAGTGTTCCGTCTAACAAAGTCCGTGTTGTAATTGTTCTTACTGAAAACGTTGTTAAGATAATCAGTCTCGATGTTTTGCATGACAGTTTCTGCTACAACATCAGAAACAGGAACAGCAACAACATCAGAAACGGTACAACGGCAAACACCACAAACAGTTACACGGTAAGGCTATGGGCTCTCCAGTTTCTGTTGTTGTAGCAGAAATTGTCATGCAAAACATCGAGGAACAAGCCCTAGCTACCTACACGCGAACTGTACCTCTTTGGTTACGTTACGTTGACGACACATTCACCGCCGTACACAAAGACGGAATCGACGATTTTCACGAACACCTTATAATTGTGACCTTTCACAGGAATTTGATGCTAAAGGTGAAAGCACGCTCACGACACGCTTGCACGACACGCTTAGCGTGCCGCAGATCACGGATATGCGCATATTAAATTGGAAAAACAAAGACGGACACACTTGCCTTTGTTTTGATAAATTTAACACGCTAGACCTTTTGCTTTTTTGTAGCGTGCCATATGTCACGGTAAGTGTGCGAATTACAGCACGCTTAGCGTGCAATTGGGGTAAGACATGTAAGATCGTAAGATCGTAACCATAGCCATTTGAAAATCACCACTTAATGGTCGTCTAGCCTGGAATTAATGCGAGATCAGTGTAAACCAATTTCTCCGGCTGTCGGCTGTTGACCGGAATCGCAAAGACGCCTGCTATCGCATGCGAGGCACTAAAGTTATGTCGCCTGAAAATTATAGTTATGTCACGTACCGGAATATTTATTAGCAGTTATGCACAGAGAAATGAAGTTGAATAAATTAGTTTAATATAAAATTATTTCTTTAAGCCATGCTGAGACGAACGAAGGTAATTAAATCGGAGAAACAAAAACTGCCTAGAATTTTCTATAGGTTGAGGAAGGCTAAACATTTCTAGATGACCGTTCCATGCATATACAATTTTCGAAGCTTATCTATCCCTAGCTATTTTTCGTAGAGAAAGGAATCCTAAAATTTTCGGAACCGAAAATACGATGAAATTCTCACTTTCCTAAAACTTTCAATTGGAAGCTGTTTATACTTTTCAAGCGACAACGTTTTTTCAATCAGATACTATCGCTGCGATCGCTTAGGTAGAACTTTTTCTTTCTCGATAGTTACCAAAAAAGGGTACCGTTCATAATCATTTACGGTTCCTTTTTGTAGGGGAAATTTATTTAGCTTATAGATAACACGCCTTGCGTGGTTTTGCGCACACTGAAAGCGTGTCGTGCTTTTTCGCACGGAGCTTTTGTTTGAAAACTTTAACACGCTCTTTTGTTCGACTTGCTCACGCTTAATTGTCTCAAGCGTGTCCTCTGAAACAAAAGAAATTGCTAATGAGACAAGATTGCAAGCGTGCTAAAGCGTGTTAAAATAAATTCTTTTGTTTTAAAGTGAAAGCGTGTCGTGCGCGTGCTTTCACCTTTAGCATTAAAATCCTGTGGAGGGTCACAATTAACAGATCGGCTAGACAGAACGCCGACATACAGTTCACCAAGGAGATCGAAGAAAATGGTAAGATACCTTTTCTAGACTGCTTGGTCACTCGTGACAACAACAAACTAAAAACGACTATTTACAGAAAACCGACACATACCGACCGATTACTAGACCAGTCTTCGTACAACCCGACCTCTCACAAGGCTACTACTATCCGGACTCTGACGAGACGAGCGCAACTAGTTTGCGACTCACCTGACAGCCTACAAGACGAGACTGATTATCTTAACAACGTTTTTAGTAAGAACAAATACAACACGGACTTTGTTAGACGGAACACTCACAGTAACACTGATTCCAACACTCAGACCAACTCTGGCCCTGTTACATAACAGCGACCATACCGTACATCAGAGACACAATTATAAGGTCACAATTATAAGGTGTTCGTGAAAATCGTCGATTCCGTCTTTGTGTACGGCGGTGAATGTGTCGTCAACGTAACGTAACCAAAGAGGTACAGTTCGCGTGTAGGTAGCTAGGGCTTGTTCCTCGATGTTTTGCATGACAATTTCTGCTACAACAACAGAAACTGGAGAGCCCATAGCCTTACCGTGTAACTGTTTGTGGTGTTTGCCGTTGTACCGTTTCTGATGTTGTTGCTGTTCCTGTTTCTGATGTTGTAGCAGAAACTGTCATGCAAAACATCGAGACTGATTATCTTAACAACGTTTTCAGTAAGAACAATTACAACACGGACTTTGTTAGACGGAACACTCACAGTAACACTGATTCCAACACTCAGACCAACTCTGGCCCTGTTACATAACAGCGACTATACCGTACATCAGAGACACCTCCGAAACTATTGCACGTATATTACAACCTTACAATATACGTCTTGCACACAAACCGATACTCCCAACCACTTTACGGCGACTGCTTACTAATGTCAAGGACAAAAACAAACAGGAGGACAGACAGGGAGCAGTATACAAGATCAAATGCTGCGACTGCCAGGCTTCTTACATTGGTGAAACCGGCAGAAACCTAAGCACGCGACTGACCGAACACAAACGAGCGACGAGGAATGGTGACGTCAACAATCACATCGCTGAGCACCATTTAAAGACGAAACATCAAATTGACTGGGACTCTGCGACATGTATAACGTATTCTACAGACTACTTTCAACGTCTTACTTTAGAAAGCTGGTTTACTAACTTAGAACAAACGCCACTGAATCGTAGCTAACAGTTACCAGCGCCGTACAAACGACTTATTGACGAGATCAAGCAAAACTAACTACGAGAGAACGACTGGAGAACTGACAATTTGACTAACAATAGACGACTGTTTAACTGTGACAATAGACGGATCGAAACGCACCAATTACCGATTACGAGTCTTCATAGCCAATAACATCACGGCTTAACTGACAGACGACCAATAACATCGCGACGTAATCGACCAATCAGATCGATAACCAGAGTATTTGGGTCTCTGCCGGCTTCACTACTGTAAGTAGTCAGACAAGGAGCAGTATACAAGATCAAATGCTACGACTGCGATGATGTCCAGGTTCATTTGTTAATTCAAGTCGTCTTTGTTACTGTGACTGGTGCTTCCTTTTCTACTAATCTTTACTTTGTGTTATGGTTACTGAAATGATGCTCAGTTCTTTCATGATTGCCTGAAGCCATCTTAATTGTGGTGGTCAAGGAACTTTGTACTTCTGGTTAAACGAACCAGACATCTCAAGGAAAATGGAAATTGTATCAGACTATGTGGGTAATATAAATTCATTTCACGGTCGATTGGAAATTTGGAAGTCGATCTTCGCGGCTGGCTTCGCAATCGATAACAACAGTTTTCTCGCCGCATTTGGATTCAAATAGCCTTGATACGCTTTCAATGGTCCTTTAAGTGCTTTCTTTCACGAAAATAGTGCTCCAATGGCTTATTTAAATGCTTTCAAGAGTAGTGTGCCGCGTAAACATTAGCTAACATTGGTGACCTTCGAGGCGAAAACGTCGAGTCGGCGTAGTTTTTGCTAAGGAGTCGAAGGGGGAATTATACACTTGACAGGCAATGCATGGAAAGCCGTAACTTTCTTATGTGGTTATTTATCATTATGTGGTGTGGTTTCTTCATTATGCCTTGTGGTTACTTCATTATGTCTCGCGTTTACTTCATTATGCCTTGTGGTTTCTTCACTATGTCTTGTTTCTACTTCATTATGTCCTGTGGTTACTTCATTATGTCTCGCGTTTACTTCATTATGCCTTGTGGTTACTTCATTATGCCTTGTGGTTTCTTCACTATGTCTTGTGGTTACTTCATTATGTCTCGCGTTTACTTTATTATGCCTTGTGGTTTCTTCACTATGTCTTGTTTCTACTTCATTATGTCCTGTGGTTACTTCATTATGTCTCGTGTTTACTTCATTATGCCTTGTGGTTACTTCATTATGCCTTGTGGTTTCTTCACTATGTCTTGTGGTTACTTCATTATGTCTCGTGTTTACTTCATTATGCCTTGTGGTTTCTTCATTATGTCTTGTGGTTAATTCATTTTGTCTCGTTGTTACTTCATTATGTCTCGTTGTTACTTCATAATGTCTCGTGGTTACTTCATTATGTCTCGTGTTTACTTCATTATGTCTTGTGGTTTCTTCATTATGCCTTGTGGTTTCTTCATTATGCCTTGTGGTTTCTTCACTATG